GAGCAACGAGTATAGGTATGGGCAGCTTCAGCAGCTGTTTTCGTGCCACTGCATGTTGTGAGACGAGTGCCAGTGCGAGCTGTTGCGTGAGCAGGGCGGCAGCAGAAGAGGGCGTGTGGAGAAAGGCGTGAATTGTGCTCAGCATCAGTGCTCAGTGCAGCACTCGCCGACGAGCTTAGCGTGCTGGCAGGGACCGGGCAGGCTGCGCGGAGCCTCGAGGGCATGGGTGGGCGTGCGAGGAGGAGGAGGAGTCGAGTAACGAGTTGCGGCGGTCGGCCTGGTGGTCAGTGGTCAGTGGCCAGTGGCCAGTGGTGGGGAGGGAGAAAACGGGATGCAGGGGCAGGAAGCCACTCAGCATCGCCGCACGACAGGCGGCCCGGCACAACGGCGCAGGGCAATATCTAACATTGCAGGGGAATAAATCCTACGCGTCCATTGGCCAATTCCGCGAATAAACGGCTAAATCGCGCTGCAGCAGCCCGCATTGGCCGCCGACGGGCCTCCCATCTGCCGTCCAAGCGTGTGCGTGTCGTGGAGCGAGCGAGGACGGTGACGAGATGGTGAGGCGACGCGAGGTTGGCCGAGTGCTGTGCGAGTGCGGTGCGAGTGCGGTGCGGGTGCGGTGCGCCTGGAGAGCGCGGGCGCTGGATGGGCACAAGTTGTGACGACGGTGGATGGTACCGGTGGACGGTGGACGGACTCTTTCCCTTGCCGAACGACATCCCGCCAGCCCAACAGCCGTCAGGCGAGCAGCGCCGCGCTTGCAACAGGGTTGTGCCTGTACAACACGCACGCGGTTGTTGTGTCCGCAATAATAACAATGTGCGAAGGAGTAGTGCGCGCGTCGGCGCTCGAGTCCCCGATGTTTAGTCTAGTCTACACGCACTGCCAGCCACCACCCATCTTGCCTGGCGGGAGAGAGGCGAGAGGCGAGAGGCGAGAGGCGAGAGGAGCGTCTGTGGCCTGATGTCTGCGTGAACAGCTGTTGCTGGGTCGGAGCAAAGGTCGACTTGTCGGTACTAAACACGGATACCCTACCCTCCTCAGACAGCGACGGCATGTTTCAAGAATCAAGCACCAACCCCACGGCCCAGAGACCGCCGCTGGACGCGCGCAGTTATCGTTTGTCCACGCCATCGGGACGAGTGCGCTACCGTTGCAATTCGAATCTGCTGAGGAGCACGCGGTGCCTGTCGTATTGTGCGACGCCGTCGGACGCGAGCGTCTTCTCTCTTCAGCCGCTGTGCAACAGACGGGGACGCATGGCGCAAGATTGCGTACAGGCCGATGCCAACTGCTCTCAGCAAAAGGGCGAAGCTTTGTCGACGGCCACGGGGAGGACCGAGCATGCGCTGAGCATGTCCTTCCATGCTCCTGGTCGAGGGATGCGCCGCCGTGGGGGCAGGCTTCCGCACATGCAGCGGCGCCGAAGAAGCACACCGACACCTCCCGTCGACGCGCCGTGTGCATCCTTTCGTGAGAGCCAAAGGTGCTGCTGGTGAACGATGGGTTGCTTTGCGGGACACGGCATCGACGGCGACGCAACCCAACCGACCAGCTGGCCGACTGCACCTCCAACCCATCATGCATGAGTACGACTCCGACGGCCTGGAACCAGATTTGATAGACTACAGTTCGGTGATGGTCGCAGAGCCAACGGGACGCCAACATGCTGCCACGGCCTTGTTTGAGCGACGGCGACGGCGTGGTGTGCATCCTGTACACGGTACCGCGCGAGCCTCCTCGTGGGCGCTTGTCAGCAGCGCACAAGGCAATATTCGCGCCTCTGCAGCGCTGAGGGCAGAGCGCTGGCTCCTATCCGCTTCCTCCTGCAGGTACGCTCCCAATTCCCGAACAAGTGAGCGGGAACCCCTGGTGCCTGCATTTTTATTTTTTTACTACTGCATCCTCCACCCATGCGTCGAAACAGCGGAGTCGCACCGCCCTCTCATCACTACTCCAGGGCTACTACTACTGCAACGCCTGCGCCAGTCTATTTTCGAGGACCCTCTTCGTCGCTTGATGACGTCTATTCGGCCCGTCGACTGGCGAATCAATCCGCCGATGCACCTCCTTTCTCTTTGCAACCGCGTCACTGCACATCCTCGCAGCCATCCTTTGCCAGCTAGCATGCGTCCATATGCCGCCGTCGTATTTGGTCCCATGTCCTCGCAGCTTCATTTTTCTGGCCAGCTTCAAGACCCGAGCAAGCCAAGCCGCTGACGCTTTCTCGAAGGGATCCCCGGTGCAACTATCTGTACAGCCGGACCGTCTCCATCTCACAACAGCCGAGCCTTCTGTCCGAGACTGCGACATCAAACACCTGTCCAGATGCATCTCCATCATCTCAGCTGGGACTCTCTTCGCATCATAGGTACGCTGAAAGCACCTTTCCATGCGCGCTCTTTCTACGACCGCGAGTCCGACCCGCATCCGTTGGCCGCAGTTCCGATACCGCGCCACAGCTGCATATTCAGGGTCCACCAAAGCGGCTATCCGCTTCTTTCTCGTCGCGTCGACTTCACTCGCCGAATCATGGCCACTTCTCCCCTTGCTACCTTCCACTCCCCTCGGTAGATTCTCGTCCTCGTACTCCCTTGCCCGTTGCTATCCTTTGCCCAGCTCACCACAGCTACGCTCCCGAGAACGGATCTAAGACGTTGCTTCTATTCTGGGCGCGCTTTTCGAAACAACGCTTCGGCGCAGGTGCCGATCGGGCGTAAACTCAACACTCCATCGTAGGTGATAGGGTTCCGGATCATTGCGATCCTGAGCTCAACTTATGGGCTTTCGAAAAGAACCATGTGTACCAGTACCCTGGTTTCTATCGATGCATCATCGTTCAGAAACATCCACCGGCGCGAGTAGCTGTGACCTTCCACGCCTTCCAAGTGGAGCGCTCTGTCTTGGGCGATTCGCGGGCGTGGCATCGGCTTGAGGCCAGCGGCCGCCACCACTAGCCATTCAGCCACGATATCATCCTTTCCGAGGAGATCCCAGGTCAGGTCGAAACCGACTAGCAAAAGTCCTGCTCTCTGACTCGCCCATGGTCTATTCGTTCTAGAGGTTTCCATTCTAACTTTCACTGTCATTGGCCCTGCTTTTGTCGGCCCTCGTCATGAAGGCCTACGCATCTTCGCCGAATATCAAAATAATCAACAGATGCTATGTCGCGAAGAAATTGGAGGGATATCATGCCAGCCTGCCCTGCTAGACGCTTCGTCCAGTATTGCCTCACCATCCCCTAAATGGACTACGAGGACTACACTCGACCACTTGGCTACCTCCGGATGTACGTTCATAGTTCGGTAATGTAAAGGCTACTAACATACCGCGGAACGACATCGGCCGGGTGATAAAGTTTCGGGGACGGCTGGCGGTTTCGCAGATCTCTGCGTGCGACTGAATCGTACGAAAACATCTCATGGTGCGGCGGCTAGCCGTTTCATCTCCCGATGTTTCTTTCAACTACATCTGGATCTCAGATGCAAGTGAAGAGCACCTCTCCAGCATGCGTCCCCGGCGTCGGATGTGCGGATGGTAGAACAGCACCTGCTCTTGCAATTTTGAAGGGCACAGCGCTCGGTCCATGAACAGCACACAGTGCCCATCGGCCCTTCTTTATGAAGACGCTCGCGATGAAATTTAGTCGGACCTTCCATGGCTTTGCGCCTCATTACCGTCCTTCCTCAACGCCACAGTTTCTGCCTCTGTCTGCGTCAACACCTTCTCTCATCCTAAAAATGATTTTCATGTTGTTACGTGGGCGCGCATTTTAGTGCACGTACACAGTGAAAAAAGGAAGAAATACGTCTCCTACAACCCGAGTCAGCGGAATTCCTCGGCCTGAGCAAGACGCTGCTTTCAAGCATGCCTTCCTATCCTTGGCCCATGTAGTAATTAATGCTCTAGAGGGCTACCGGTAGCCATCCACACTGCCACTGAACAGCTTCCATTTGCCACAAGATGTAACTTGTTGATCACCACTTTCGGAACCCACGCCTCACCCAGCGGTCGCAGTGCTGTCACGAGTATTTGCTATGCTGAACTGCTCCAATCCCTTTTACAGCAGCTCGGCAGTGGCGACTAGGATTTCGATCCTACAGACATCGACAACTGAACGACTTGGTTGAGAGCCGCTTGATGGCATCTCACTTGCATTTCGCAATAGTATCCCCTTTACAAAAGTCCCTGTCAGGCGTTTAGAGGAGCTTGGTACCGTGCTCCGGGGTTGTGATCCTCCGGGATTCGACTCTGCGCCTTGCCTTAGACTACTGTACTGCGGCTCACCGCATGACGCCATCCACATTACTGCAACGAACGGATGCGCAAGCCATATGCGCGTTGCGCTTACATCGACTTCCATACTTGACCCGGGACGTGGACTTCCGTAAGGGGCAAAAGCCCGCGGGCGCAATGGAGCTCAGTGGCGCCGACTAGCCCCTCCTTTGCACGCATGGGATGTCGAACTACCTGATCACCTCTGAGGCGGTCTTTCGTTCGCGTAGTTGAACTATCATCTACTGCGCGCGAGACGGAACGGCTCGGAAAGTGGATGTCGGACAGCGAATCCAATCAGTGTAAGCTCAGCCCCAGAAACAACAGGACAGACTCGACAGAACGCAACATGCTGATCATGATGGATTCAACGAGCGGTGCAGGGAAGTTGTGAAGATAGGTGGGTCCGCAAGAAACTAGTCTGTTCTGATGGTGATCGCAGGTACGCTTCAGGTCGCTATCTTTGTTGCATCATACCGTATGGTGGTTTGCCAAATTGATCGAGACGACATGTCCGAGATAGACAAAATGTAATGCTTACAGCTTCCCTGCACCTCCAACCCGTACGAAGTAGCTCGTCCTACAGGACACGTCGAAATTAGCTCTGGTCGTCCGTGTTCCACCAGGCGCTTATTATTTGGCTCAGATTCACTGTCACAACTTTTCTATCCTTGAGCTCCTTAGGACTTCCTAGGTGTTCGATTACGCATATCGGCCCGGATCTTGGGAAGGAAGCTGTCAGAATATGCTCGTGTAACTCACGACTCACCGGTTGGCGCTTCCACATCCCCCTCCTCTCGGCTTTTCTCCTGCATAGGGTCTGGCAAGAGGGAGCGTCCTATCACGGCGGATCCATCATCTTCTCTAAGCATACAAGGTCACCGTCTGCTTACGCTCGCCCCAAATACACCCACACCAGTCAACCTCGTCAGCAACGTTTCGCGCACGCCTTGTACCACAATAAGCCCTGCCTCGGCACTCGTTCAGTTACCGACCTAAGGAGCTAATCGCACATTTCCGGGTCTGTGGTTGAAACTGCGGCTTTCATCAGCTGTTGGGTGGTTAATATATGCACTGTCAGCGTGCGCGCGTAGGGGTGAAAGTTTAGGAATCCTAGTGCTCTTGCGTCCTAAGTATGCGGGTTGAGACGCATGTTTCTGAGCTCGAGATGGGTATAAGGCACCCGTGTGCAAGTCAGATGTTAGGCGGGAGGCGTTGGATGATGAACACGATCAGCCGGTTGTGGCTTATTTTAGGTTCGGGTGAGACGGTAGAGAAGGGGCTGAACGGGCAGCTTGGAGATGCGAGGATGGTGGGGATGATGGGATGGGTGCTGTTGTTGCTTTGTCAGGCTTGATGACGTTGGGAGAGCAAGGCCGGGCTGGGCGTATATCCTTCCAGGGGATGCAGTGTTGGTCAATCGTCTGCCTAACGGTACTTTGTACTATGGTGCAGCTCGTGAGGTCTCCATTTTGTCTGTTTAGCCTGCTGGAGCTCCTCGGAAAGTGGCGCCCTCCTCGCTGAGTACGGCGAGCTCGTAGATGCTTCGCCCGCCCATCCAAAGATACTGTAGAGCCAGCACTCGGCGAGTGCCAACTTGCTTCACTTTGCTCCACGATCCTCTGAACGAGTCTGATACTTCTTTGTGAGAGAGTCCCAAAAGCGTAGCCAGGCACCAGGTCCGTGGAAATGGCTACATACTCAGCGCAATCGCAATCGAGCACGACGTCTTTTGATAGCACTGTGTGGTATTCCATATATACAGTCCCTTCACAGTGACGAAAAGCCGAATCAACCGGTACGCCCAAACGTTCATCTGGCCATCTCCTTCTCACGTAGTCATGTCATGGTGTCCATGCTCATCCTTGAAGAACAGAGCTTCCGCCACGCAGTATCCGGCGAATGCGACGGTGGCGATGCCGAGGCCGGGGAAGGCGCCCTTGAAGCGGTTCCATCGTGTGAAGGGGCCGGTGTATCGCCAGGCTTCACTATGCGGGGCTTAGCATTGGGGGGGGCCTTATGGAAATCAAGCAAAGGGAGACACACTATCGTGCCCAGGGGTCGCCTCTGGCGTTCGCAGATGCGGCAGCGAACTTCTTGGGGTCGAAGCCGGTGATGGAGGGGCGTGGTGCCATTGTGATGCTGCCGGTGTGGGTTAGCGGCGGCTGTTGCAGGTGCTGTTGCAGACGGGAGGGCCATTGAGGCACTGGCACATACTGTGGAGGCCTCAATCAACGACGGCAGAGAGGCAGCGCGGTGGCAGGCGATGGCGTGGTGTTGGAGCCCGCGTTGGAGCGTCGCGGACGACGATGGCTTGGCGCCAAGCATGGCCGCCTTTGACAACTTTCCGCCCGATCCTCCATCCGCCGCCGACACCCTTCACCCGCGCTATTCCGTTAACCCAACTTGCGAGTCCAGCGTCTGTCTGCGCTCCACGGCAGCCTTCTCGCGCCCCTCCCACGCCCCGTATGCGCAAGCCCCCACCGCGTCCGAATCCGACACGAGCTCTCGAGCGATAGCTACCCACGATGCCGCCGCACGGGGGCCGCTACCCCGGCCACAACCTCTCCAACCCCTTCGCACACCTCGGAAACCCCATGAGCCAGCAGCAACAGCTCCAGCAGCAGCAGCACCAACAGAACATGCAACAGCCCGGCTTTGGTGGCGCGACCCCAGGCCACAACCTCAACCTCTTCGGTCACAGCCAGAACAGCTTCCAGTCGCACGCGGGACTAGGCGGAGGCATAGGCGGCGCTGGGCTTGGCGGAGCAGCCGGGCTAAGTGGTGGGACCGGGCTGGACGGTCAAGAAGCGCGCATGCGTTTTGCTCAGGGTGCTCAGCTGCAACAGGATGCCGCCATGGGCCGCGGGCAAGATGGCGCGAAAGGCCTTGCGGGACAGCGGATACGTGACGTCTGGAGGTCGAACCTGCATCAGGAAATGGACCTGTTGCGCTCGCTCGTCGATCAGTATCCTTACATCAGTATGGTCAGTATGCCTTTTTCATTCGAGCCGGACAGGTTCCTTCTACCTGGGGGCCTGTCTCTGATATCTCCCTCTTCGAAGGCTATGATCAACTGTGGCTTGCATCTCGTCCTTGAACACGACTTGGTATTTCATGGCGTCCACGACGCTCACAAGAAACGTAGGACACCGAGTTCCCCGGCGTCGTCGCCCGCCCCATCGGCGACTTCAACTCAAAAGCTTCCTATCATTATCAGACCGTGCGCTGCAACGTCGACCTCCTCAAGATCATCCAGCTGGGCGTTACCCTTTTCTCGGTACAAGGCGACGTCCCTCCGTCACACCTCGACGCTTCAAAGCTAAGCTATCAGCCCAAAGCAGTGCAGCAATACGCCAACAAGATCATTGTGTGCCCTTGCACCTGGACCTTCAACTTCAAGTTTTCGTTAGAGGACGACATGTACAACGAAGAGTCCATCCAGATGCTAAAGAAGTCTGGCGCCGACTTTGAGAAACATGCTAGCCAGGGCATCGATCCCGAGGAATTCGGCTCACTCCTGATAACGTCCGGAATGACGCTCACCGAAGACGTCAACTGGATATCTTTCCACTCCGGCTACGACTTCGCGTACCTCATTAAGATGCTTACTTCGAAGGCACTGCCCGAGGATGAGGAGGCATATCGCAAACTCGTCGAGATATTCTTCCCGCGGCTGCTAGACGTCAAGTACCTCTGGCGGCACGCGAACAACCTCGTGCGTCGGGGTGTGATAGGATCGCAAGCGACCAACATATTGAACAACCTGGGCACTAAATCCGGCCTCCAAGACCTCGCTGATGAGCTGGGCTGTCAGCGCATCGGAAATTCACACACCGCTGGCTCAGACGCATGGCTCACAGGAACAGTGTTCTGGGAATTGCGGAAGAAAATTTTCGACGGCCAGGTCCCCGAGGACATGAACGGACAGATGTGGGGTCTCACCGGCGTCGGACCGCCCGCCAGCGCAACCGCCCAAGCCGCCGTGCTCGCAGCCCAGGGCGCTCAGAATCTAGCCGGCTACCAGGGCATGAACGGCGGCATGATGTTCCACCCTGGCGCTACAGCCACACACCGTGCCGATGGACCCAGCACGCCAACAAGCCACCCCGCTGGTCTCGCAACAACGCCCGGGCCGTCTCACGGAGGTATGATGACTCCGGGGGCGACGGGCACGTTTGGAGAGTTCAGATATGGTGGCAAGTAATTGCGCTATGTCCGGCTTCTTTACTGAACGTGCTGCGCAGGCCCGCCCGCTATGGGACGCCCATCGCTGACCTTGTTTTCGCCAACACCTTTGTCGCTGTCACAAGCAATGCCGTCGGTTTTGGTGCAGGCAACTCCGTCGCCCTTGTCGGCAGTGGCACCGGAGTTTATTCCGCCCGAGCGGGTGGTTTCTAGTCCTTCATCGCCTACTTCAGGACCTCCGGATCTGTCTTTACCCCGGCGTCCTCCATTACCCAAAGGTTGGTCAATACACCCGAGCTTTCATTCACACCACCCTTCGATGTGATGATATTGGACGCTACCCCCGATGGCATACGTCAATATTGCTTAGGTATACTTGGGCGTGGTTCCGTTTGGCGTATAGCTCTACGTTCTATTGTTAAAAGCACACGTCATCATTGCATTTCCCTGGCGTCGTATGGGCTGCAGGATTCGGTGCGGAAGGAATCCCAGGGACAGGTGGCTTATCGGCACTGTTGACCCGAGTCTTTTCTTCCGCTTCTTCTTAGTGTGTAGTATGGTGCTTATACTATAGGTTGTTTATTCTTCTAAGGGCTTAGTGGATTCTGCGTACGTCATGTTGGGTGATGTGATTGTGGGTCGAGGAAGAGTACGGGATGTACTGTGCAAGTGCGGCCTGGGCTTGTGTGGAGATGCTGAAGGACTTCAGACTCACTTATACAGATGGGGGAAGGCATAACAGGGCTTCGCTTTTGTACCTAGTTATTCAGCTGTCTTCTAACCATCCTCGGTGTCTTTCGCATGTTCTCTGCGCTCAATAGCCCTCTTCACCACGTGCAGGATGGGCCAGTTGTGAAAAGGAATTACACAATTGGAGAGGCGCTTCCAGGATATATGTTTTCGGAATTGGATGGCATGGGTTAGGTCTATCTCTTGGCTTGAATTTTTCATAACCCCCCGCCCAACATGGTGCAGCCTATTTGAGACTACATGTTGAACCTCGTCCTCTGCTTCTCCATGCCCGCCTTCCACTGCCACTCCTGTCCGCTCTTCCACTGTATGCCTCTGTCTACCCTTCTCAGCTTCAAAGCTACAATAACATTAGCGCTCGCTCTCACTTCATCCTCCTTAGGCAGGGGACTCACTAAACCTGGGGCCGAGCTCCTGCATGCCCACCTTGATGCTCTCGACTCCTTTTACCGGTTCTAAGGGTTGGGGAACAAAGTCAGCGCTTCTTTTCGCAGTGAAACGTGTAAAAGGTACATGTAAGTCTCATTCAGGTGTTTGCCATATCTCGAGACACCCCTGATGCAGGGCATTCCAAACAACAACTGCATACACTTTGACGAAAGACATGCAGTGTGTGCTAGGGGGTTACATACTGCCATCTGTACCAATGACGCTCTTCTCTGTTTCCTTCTTATCGCGGAAGACATATCTGTGCCGCCGGAGGAAGATGTAGTCGCGCTGGTTGTGGAGCGTTACGACGGTGCGGCCGATGAGCTCCGGCTGCTGGGGGTAGAGACCTCGGAAGAGGTGCGCTGTGAGCAGGCCGAGGGGCGTGCGGAAGTTGTTCAGGATGAGCTCCGGGATGAAGCCTTGGTCTACGCCGTGGCCTGGAAGCTTCTTGCCTTCGACCCAGTTTGATATGCTGAAGTGGACTAACAGAGTTAGCGCAGTCCTCAAAATGGCACGAATGGTTGACAGTGTCTCCATATGCAACCTGCGGTCGCGGCCTCGACGCCGGCACTTGGACGAAGACGTGAGTTTTGTACCGGGAGGCGTACATACAGTGTGGCCCGGAGGGCAGGATGACAATGTCTAGGCCGTCTGGTTTCTTCTCATGGTGCGCCTGCATTAATATGACGAGCGCGGTGTAATCTCTTGCAGAGGCAAACTGTGCGATCTCCCTGACCGAGTACTTGTGTGCATGAGCGTGAGCCGTCCGGCGGATATAGGTGCTGTTCGGAAAAAGAGTGGTAAGGACTTCGGCTTCAGCGTGGAGGCTCGAGTGCAGCGACGTCGTTACCAGTATCTTAGGTTCAGGCGGCGGATTGAAAATTGCAGGGAACTTTTGCTTGAGAAATTCGGGAGAGAGCTCGAGGTTTGTCGCGGAGGAAGTTGTAGGGCTGGAGGCGCGATTCGGTGGGTCCGGTTTCCGTTTCTTCGCAGCGGACGAAGCCGGGTCCGACGCATCGTCTTCCGCTTCCGAATCAAAGCCCAGCATGCTGTCTGCATCGCCGTCTTGCTCTCGGCTCTCCTCATGCCCCGTCTCTTCATCGCGCCGCCTCAGCTTCGCCAGCGTGCCGTCTTCCTCGTCGTCGACCCCGCCCCCGCCCTCTGTCCGCTCAGCTGCCGCTTGCTCTAGCCTCCTCCTCTTCGCTAGCCTCTCCACATCGACGACCCAGCCCAGCGCATCCTCCTCGTCGCCGAAGGCATCCTCATCCCACGCCCGCTTCGAGTCGATCGTGGCCGGCACATTTCTCGCCTGCCGTTCTGCGCGGAGCGAGAGGTCTTTCGCTTCTTCGCGCTTCCTTCTGAATCGCTCATCGCGCTTAGCTATTAATATTGTCAGTGTTGGGGCGGTGATGTATTCCGCTCGCAGTTATCTCGTACCTGCTTCTCTTGCTTTCTTGATGGAGAGAAAGGCCGCTTGTCTGCGGAGCTTGTTCTTGGGTTTTAAGCCGACTGGCATTCCCGAGGACTTAGATGCAGCCATGCTGAAAGGCAGCTTCCCATGCAGGCAGGAATTGGCGATGCTGTCCGGAGGGTTCGCTGTCCTGCACATGCACTCCCAAAATTTCGGCCAAGACGAGGGTCCAGCCGGAGCCTCTTTTCTCCGCGCCGAAACCGTCCCACGTTTGGAACCAGTCAGAGCGCGAGGAGTCACAAACGTAGCTCCATCTGTATATATTGCATCTTTCCCCCGCCAGCCCCCGGCCTCCTCTGGCACACAGGAGGGCAATCCGTGCATGCGCCAGCTGTCGAGTGTGTTGCGCGCCAATTGCTGCTCTTCTTTCCGCAAACCCTTTCTTCGTGCCCCGCCCGGTCGTGTTTATCCCACCCAGAGCTTTGCGACAACACCTGCCCACCGCCGGTTCCAGCTCCCCAGGCAGAAGAGGGAGGCCGCCATGGCGCACGACATGACCACGCTCAAGGGCAAGCCCTTTGACAGGGCCTCGCTCGAGTCTCTCATGAGAGTAAGAAGCCACACGAGCAACAGGCCCCGCCTCTGGCTCTGGCAGAGCTCCGGCGTCGCAGCAGCCATGTTAACAATCCGCAGCGCCGCATGTTCTACACCCCCGCCTTCGAAATCTACGGCGGCGTGTCCGGTCTGTACGATTACGGGCCGTCGGGCTGTGCCTTGACCAACAACATTATCGATGTCTGGAGGAAACACTTTGTCCTCAAGGAGAACATGCTTGAAGGTGGGGCGCACGCGACAATAGCCCAATCTGGCTTCTGACATGGCGCAGTGGACTGCACGATGCTCACCCCGTACGACGTCCTCAAGACCTCCGGCCACGTAGACAAGTTCGCCGACTGGATGTGCAAGGACCCCAAGACGGGCGAAATCTTCCGCGCAGACCACTTGGTCGAGGAGGTACTTGAATCGAGATTGAAGGGCGACAAGGAAGCCCGAGGCCAGAAGGTGGATGTGGACGAGGAGGACCCGAAGAAGAAAAAGAAGAAGGTCAAGAGCATCACCGCAGTCAAGCTGGAAGACGCCGTTGCACAGGAATACGAGGAGGTGCTGGCGAAGATTGACAACTACAACGGCGAAGAGCTCGGCCTGCTCATGAAAAAGTACGACATCAGGAACCCAGCGAACAATAGCGAGCTGCTTCCGCCAGTGTCGTTCAACTTGATGTTCCAGACCGCAATTGGTCCGTCCGGACACATTCCTGGCTACTTGCGTCCCGAAACCGCTCAAGGCCAGTTTCTGAATTTCCAGAAGCTGCTGGACTTCAACCAGCAGCAAATGCCCTTTGCTTCCGCCTCCATTGGCAAGTCCTTTCGAAACGAGATCTCCCCGCGCTCTGGTCTGTTGCGGGTCCGAGAATTCTTGATGGCCGAAATCGAACACTTCGTGGATCCCGAGGGCGGCAAAAAGCACCCTCATTTTGACGAGGTCAAGGATGTTGAGCTTGAACTCCTCAACCGAGAGGTTCAGCTCGCCGGCAAGACTCATGCCGAGACGACTAAAATAGGTGAGGCTGTCAAAATCGGCCTCGTCGATAACGAAACGCTCGGATATTTCCTTGCGCGCATCCAGCTGTGAGTCAACCTCTTGGTATAGATCCTGGAGGCCTTCTAATCGCCCCACCACCAGATTCCTACTCAAGATAGGCGTTGATCCCAAGAAGATCAGATTTAGGCAACACATGGCGAATGAGATGGCGCATTATGCAACCGACTGTTGGGATGCGGAACTCTTGACGTCCTACGGCTGGATCGAATGTGTCGGATGTAAGCCAACCTCTTGGTGCGAATATCAACCGAGACATATGCTAATTGTACGTTACCTTAGGCGCAGATCGCTCGGCATACGATCTCACCGTCCACATGAAGAGGACTGGTGCGCCTCTCGTAGTGCGAGAACCGAGGAAAGAGCCACTCAAGGTCGAGGAGTGGCAGTGTGATATCGACAAGAAGAAATTCGTAAGACGATCCCCTTCTACGAGTACTGATCATTTGCTAATCGTTCCGCCGTAGGGACCCAAGTTCAAGAAGGACGGTATGTAACTTGGGGTACTGACGCCTTTTCTATCACCTATGCTAATTATACCAGGCAAAGCAGTAGAGGCCGCTATCGAGGCCCTTTCGCAAGACATGCGAGAGAAGCTTTCTTTGGATCTCGCGAGCGAGGGGAAAATTACTATTGATGTCCCGGCTGTCGGTGATGGCAAGGTCGAAGTGCCGAAGGAGCTGATCTCTATTGAGAAGCGGACACGGGTGGAGAACGTGAGGGAGTACACACCGAACGTCATTGAGCCATCATTTGGTATTGGCCGTATCGTCTACGTGGGTTTTGGATTATCACGTCTCACAGGCCGCTCACTAACTCCATCGCACAGGCTCTTTGCGAACACACGTACTGGACGCGTGAACAAGACGAAGCACGTGGTGTCCTTTCGTTCCCCCCAACTGTCGCCCCAACAAAGGTCCTCATCGTACCACTGAGCTCCCACGCCGACTTCAAGCCGTTCGTACGGAAGCTGAACAACAAGCTTCAAGATATCGGCATCAGCAGCCGGGTGGACGACTCCGGTGCTTCGATTGGCAAGCGCTACTCGGTAAGTCATGGTGCTTGCCGTGTTTCAATAAGCACGTGCTAATATAGGACAGCGTAACGATGAGCTGGGTACGCCCTTGGGCATTACAATCGACGTGAGTATAGCGCATGTTGGCACAGCATCATGCACGAAGCTGACATGACCCAGTTCCAATCCGTCAAGGATGATAGCTTCACCCTGCGGGACCGAGACTCGACGCAGCAAGTCCGGTCCAGCCTGGACGAGATCTGCAAAGCCATTTCCAATCTTGTCAACGGCACCGAGCAGTGGTCTGATGTCGCGCAGCGGCTGCCCAAATTCGAGGGTCAGGAGGTTGACTAAATGTGTGGTCTCCGCGAGGGTTTCAAACATGTTTCCACGGATACAGGAAATAGACGGGCGAAGCGGCGGGATGGAGTACGCATTACAATTTCTGGACATGTATTAGAATATCATCAGTTCGAGCCAGAATCATGAGGGCATTCGACATGGCACCATGGCATGTTAGCGGGCGCGTCGTAGGAGGCAACGGGCAACCGCTCGAGTCCATTGCGCCTTCCTAAAAGACGCTGGCCAATAGCACGCAACGCCGCCCCACGCTGTAATGGACGTCTTCACCGTTCAGCAACCTCAACACTTTCGCGCCCACTCCCACGTCAAGCCGTTCATCATGTGCGACGCCTCACCACATGTCGTGCACCCGTCCCCCATCGACGACGCGCTCAGCGGACGGGCACAGCCATAGTCGCCGAGATTACGCATGCCGGCAACTGCAGGTCGGCCGTCATTTCTCGACACACAGAGCAACAGCTGGCCCCTCGGCGTGGCATTCGGCCTGCTGGGAGAACGAACGAAGGTGGCGGCGACGGCGGCGGCGGGTGAGGGCCCGGATCCGCGAGCTCTCCGGCCTGCAGCGCTGGAGACAGCTGGCAGCGGGAACGTTCCTGTGCAGCGGGCGGCGAGACCCAATCGTTTGACAAATGGCGGCATGCCGACTCCAAGAGCATGGTTGCGCGCTCGGATGCAAGAGTAGTGGGCGAGAAGGATCCTACCGGCTCCAGCAAAGTGTGCAACCCCGGTCATATCTGCGCGGTGCGGAGGTGAATTACAGGGGTTTAGCGGGACGGCATGATCGCCAGCGGGCCCCACCGGCTCCACCGTTCCAGCCTCCTGCATCTGCATGTCTCCTTTTATGCCCTTCCTCTGTCGCGCGCCGCCGTCTACACACTACGCCCTCGAATTGTCAGCATTCCGCAACGACCGCAGCGCCTATCCTGCCCAGTAGGCTGCGCAGAGGGGGTCGCATAGCCGGCCCACCGTCGTACACAGCACGCCGGGGAACAGAACCACACAGCTCCCGACAGAGTGTTTGCTGCGCAGCCTGCAGGGCCGTAACAAGCCAGCGGGCCCTCACCTTGCTCCGGTGGCGTTACCTGCATCCTTAGTTTCAGCAGACGGCCGTCGTAAACTTCGTACGAGTCCTTGCGAAAGCTTTGCCCACGCCCGCCCGCCCGCCCGCCCGCTCGCTCGCTCGCTCGCTCATATTTTCCGGCATTTCTCGCCTGCACAGTGGCCTGTCTCGGTCACATTTCGCACATCATCACCTCCAACCCGGCGGTACGGTTCGACTAAGTCTTTCTAGAAGCCTCAGGCCCTCTTCTTATTTTGACGACATACGTGCATCCTTCTGCAATCCTCAATCCTGCCCTTCTTGAGAGCGCGCCCGCCGAGGGTCCGAGGTTCCGTCTTGTGCCCCTGCCCCTCTTCCGCAGACGACGCAGGCAGCCCTTATATTGCGCCTGACGTTGCGGTGCAGAGTAGCGGCCGGACCTCGCTCCGCCGCTATAGTCGTCTGGCTATATCCCTCTGCCATTCCTTCTCGCTTCAATCATGAGGGTCCCTGCATCAGGCTTTGATTGCTGACTGCGGACTGTCAAACTGCGGACTGCAGGAGCTTGTGACCTGGTGTCCGGGAGCCGTCTTCATTTGATGCTAGGCCGCCGGGATATGCTTCCCCTCTTGCACCCACGCAGCTGTCGCCCTGCAGAATTCGTCTGTCCATCCGCCCGTATCCATTGCAGATCGAAGCCTCTTTTACTAGGGCGTACCGCACAGCCTGCCCTTCTCGTCTCATATTATACCGTTCTTGTGGCATAGTGCGTCGACGCTGCGTGTTGGCCCTCGGACGTGGTCGCAAAAGGAATTCCACCAAGCGCCAGGCAGCCCGCCCACCCAAACACGTCGTTGGCACGCCGCACCGCTGGGTCAGGGATCAAATTACTGCACGCTTGGGTCGGCGGTCGACGCCTCATTCACACAGAGCCTTGCGCATACTCCGTGGATCCTGGGACCCCACCACGCCACCAATCAGAGGGTTGTCGCCTACGAACTGCAACCTCAATTATCCACGCCCCTTTTCCGGAGAACGCGACCAAAATTCCCAGCTGTCCGGTGGAGCCGACGCGACCGCTCCGGGAACTGACTATTCTTAAGTCAATAACGCCGAGGCACGTCGTTGGGAGTGCTCGCTCGCCGTTCGTCTCGTTCCCGGTCCCAGTCCCAAGGCCATGGAAGAGGAGCCGCCACCACCCGACGATCCGGCAAGAGATCACACAACTGCACAACACAAGCGTCCCCGAGCGAATTCGGAAAGCTCTACCTCTGCGGAGTCTCTGTAAGGCCCCTTTTTCTAGTGCGCTACATTTGGCAACTTCTTGGCTGCCCCAATCTCCCAACTTTCGTTTTGTGAGCATGTTACACTACACCTACGCGCTCGCGAGCCTATGCGACGGCCCCTTTGTGCATCCCTCTAGCCTTTCACGAATTACTGATGCATAGCAGCGAGTCTACTCGCACGTTGCAGTCGGAAGACCTCGAATTCGTGCACGAGAATGGCCGTGTGTACGCAAACGACAGCTACTTCATGCCATGCGATCAGCCAGAACAAGACCGCCTGGCCCTTCAGCACCAAGTCTATCTCCTTGCCCTAAAAGGCAAACTGACTACCACGAGAATAACTTCGGCCACCAGGCGGATCCTGGATCTGGGTACCGGGCCAGGATATTGGGCCGTCGCCATGGCCCAGCAGTATCCCCACGCTGAAGTAGTGGGCGTCGACATGGCAGTATGGGACATTGAAACAACTGAAGCAGTCGCACCGAATGCCCGCGTGACGTGGGAGATTGACGACCTCGATGTCTGGGGTGTGGAACCCGAACTAGACGACGTGACTCTAAGGCTGGAGCGCTACAACCCATATCGCGACCACGCCAACCGCGAGCCGCTCGACTCCCCCGCGAAGCAGAAAACAAAAGCGAGCGACTCACAGACCCATACGCAACCTCATACGCCATCGGACCCGTCTTTCGACCTGTACTCGCTCGAACCTGAAGTGCAGCCAGGCTGGCATTTCAGCGACACGTTCGACCTCATACACATGCGCAGCATGAAGGGAGTCTTCGCGTACTGGGAAGGCGTCTATGATGAGATATACAAGAACCTATCGCCAGGCGGCTGGGTCGAGATTGCGGACTACGACATGACGATGCCCAGTCTAGAAGAAATGGCCGGCATCGAAGAGTTTCCATTCCCGGCCCTCCGCAAACTGTACCTCGGCGTCATGCAAGCGTCCTTCAAGAGCGGTCGCCCCATCGGCACATACTACATGCACCCAACATACCTCGAGGATGCGGGTTTCAAAGATGTGCAGACGACATACGTCAACGTGCCGATAGGGCAGTGGCCCGAGGACGAGGAGCAGAGAAAGATTGGAAAGCTCTTCCTCGTCTCTGTCATGGAGATGTTGGAGGCAAACCTGCTCCGCCTGTTGACGGTGTGGGGCGATGCGGAAAAGATATGGAGCGTGGAGGAGGTCAAGGACGAGATCGAGAGGGGGAAGAAAGAGATCCTAGAGTGGAGTCGCGGGCCGGATCGGCAGGGTAAGACAGAGGGTTGGTGTGCGAGTTTTAAATGGATTGTTGGGAGGAAGAGTAAGAACGCTTGAGGTCCGCACGAATTGGTTGTGGAAGAGGAAGAAGGGGACTAATCGACGGCGTGATGGGAGGACAAGTGCTGGCGGGAGCACCATACAAAAGGCGACGACGTCTATGACATCAAGATCATGTAGATGTAATGCGGTTCGGATGTGTTATGAAGGGATGAGCTCTTGATATACCATTTTGTGTTATGTCTCTATAGTGCGAGCTTTCAGCTCGTCCCTTTCTAAACAGCCACTTTCCGTGTTATGATGACTCGCGTAAGTTTCTCTACGAATACGCCACCCAGTACACTCACAAACGTAGACTCACAACGTAGACTCACAACGTAGACTCCAACATTCGGTGGCACCCTGGTACCACAGTTGATGAATCACTCCGCAAGGCTTGACTCTTCGAGCGAGTAATTACGAGTATAAATACTGAGTATCGATCTACCACACCGCAAGCTCCTTCTTCCTTCACATCCATCTATCTAAGTTATATACAGTTATACCCTTCGTTACCAAAAAGACAACGTACACCTGTCGCAAAAAGAGAGCCAGCCTTCTTCCACCAATATGTCCTCCCGCGACCCTTCCACCGCGAGCGCGGCAACAGCGCAGAGCGCCGATTCAGCTGCTGGCCCTCCATCCAATGCCTCCACGCCAAGCCTTGGGAATTCTCGCAACAATGAGTGGGGGCTGCTGTCGGCGTATTTGGAAATGTGCTTCTGGAATTTATATCAATGGGCACAACTAGAAAGGCGACAACGAAGATACAAAAGCGAAACAAGACAATGAGCACCGGCAGTGGAAATCATTCGAGGAGGACCTCACGAACAAGCATTCCGCCTTGGTGCAACTTTTCGATGACGATAGGAATCTCGCCAGGCGGCGAAAGGATCTACTTGAAATAGGTCCACGGCATTAGAAGGACGACGAGAAGAAGGGGCAGTTTATGTTGTTCTTTCACGAGGTTGTTATTGCTGCTGTGACGAAAGAGTTTCTTCAGGACGAGGATCGGGTGCCGCAGGAAAAGAATTTGAAGGAGCGCTTGAGGGCCTTTGCCAAGCTGAAGCATAGGGATGTGAAAGAGTGGTGGTATCAGAAAGGATATAGCGAGGAAGAAATTGAGTTGGAGTTGAAGAATGAGGCTAGTGATGAGGAGTAATGCGGGAAGGAGCTGTAGGGCTTTCGGTCTTCAAGGGATTTATTACTGAATACTGCCTATTCTTCTCTTCTGTCATCTTTCTTTGAGTCTAGAGGATGTTGAATGAAGTATTTCCAGCACTATGCGCGCTATTGCAGTGCCGTGTCTGTCTTTCCTTGTCGCTAAGCTGGCTTATTTCTGTGTTCCCCGTCTCTGCGTTCTGGCAAATAAAACAAAACAAAATTGCAAAAAAACCCACTCCAAGGACAAGCCTCAGAGTCGAACTCATAGCCTGATGCCAGGCTACGCTCGCAATCGAGTAGACTACGAGAATGGGTAACAGGAAAGAGGACGAAACTGTGGATGACATATCGGATATGTTGGAGTATGGTAGGTCCTCAAACCTCACCACCCACAGCCCGCAAGTGGGCACCCGGTATTACAACCTAACGATGTCGTGTGCTCAACCAACTGAGCCAACCGAGCCGCCTGCAAGACCCGCCGTTAGGTGACAACCCTGTTTGTTCTATGCTGGGTCTTGGGATTTGTTTGGATTATATAGAATAATAAATTGAGGATAGAGGTTTTAAGGTGAGAGAGGAGGGGTATTGTGGACGGCAAGCGACGGCGGAAGGTGAAGGCCGACGAGCGGGATGGTGAGGGTGTGACGTCGTTGTTTTGCTGCTCTATCGCTGCGCTGTTGCCGCAGCCGCGGTGGCGTGTGGAAGGCACGTGGTGTGGCTTAGAGGTATTCAACGCTCTGGGAAACATGATAGTGGTGGCTTGAACCCTCCCTGAAGAGCTCCACGCTGGCGTTTTCCCCATCGTGTCTAGGTAAGACCCTGGGCGGAAACAGCTCTGTGCAAAATAGTCCCCCAGGGAGCGGTATCCAACCCCCCTCGTCAGGCCAGCTCTTCAATATCGTGAGTCGTTTGCATGGTTCCGGACTTTGTGGGAGTGGTGCAGTGACTCTGGCCAATATTACGCGGGAACCTCACCCATCTCCTTTCGAAATGCCGATGCTATCATGACTCTCCCATGCAAGCCTCCTCATCGGCGTCGTTCATGGGGGAGCACATACTCTCCCAACTCTTTGCTTCTGCGTCTCCTCTCACTCTTCCTTCGCTACCCCCTTGTCTCTCGTACATGCGGGCTCTAACCACAATGCGATCATTTCGCGGAGGTAGTTCGATCGAACTGTGTTTCTTGCTTCGGTGTATTTAACGCCTAATGAAGGAAGACCATCGCAGTTGCCGTGCTCGAGTGGTCCGCGCGGTGTCGTACCACTAAAGTCAGCAGTCAAACTCATCGCGGTATCTCCGAAGCTGGGGTGAGAATGCAATCGACTAGAATAAGCGGGAGGTAGGACGTGTTGCAAGCAAGTGTTCATAGAGCTAAGCTAAAAGAGGAAGGTGATGTGAATACATTCGGAATCGCCGATTCTCGAATTTCAAGGTCCCATGGAAATTGACTACCAAGCCCAGCATTTTGGAAGTGCAACTTTACCTGGGGAAGTAACTTTGTGCGCTCCACGACCTGTGCGTCATGAATCACTGAACACTGGATCTCAATAGCACATCACCCGTGCAGCTCCGACCCCGCGTTCACGACTCTGGGCGGACCGCCATACGGTCTCTAAGCTGTACGATATGCTTTGTTTGTATTTCGAGTGACCTCTCTATGCCGACTCAGAGACAAATCCTGATAGTCGAACGTCTTTGCTTCTCTTATCGTAGTCAGTTGTGCTCCGGAACGCGGTTCCCGGAGGTCGCCGCCATTCTCGCTACCACGCTTCCTTTCCTCAAACAACCCTTTCTAAACCGCCAATGCCATTACGATATTCGCTATCTTCAATCAAGGTCTCCCGGTATCCATTCAATACTCGTCGCCCACCATGGCCTGGCAACAAATTCAAACTGCGGGGATCCCGCAGAAGACCTCAAAAGCCACGGAAACAACGACATACCAAAGCTCTAGGATGGCCTCTAGCAGTTCAACAAGAGCGACTTCGAGGACCTGTGAACGCGAAGGGAGATTCCGCAACGCTTGGTAGGAATTGCCAGGCTCCTGCATCTGCAGTGTGATTGCGACTGCACACCCGCTTTGTTCAGAGCCAAACTCCTTACGGGCCTCGGAAAAGAAACGCGGGACGACACGTGGCCGAAATGCTGAAACGAAGCCGCCAGATGGTGACCAAGCTTTTGGCCTGAACGCATCCGCTGTGCTTTCGAGCGCTGAATGCATTTCAAAAGTGGAAATGGACGAGCCCGGCAAAGTGTTTAATCAACGAAGACGAACCGCTTCACTTTCGCCTTCTCGTGTACAAAATCTTCCTGAGAGAAGAACCCCTGCGTCACTTGGTATCCGGGCGGAGCCGTCTGGTTTGTGACGAGGCGTCGTCCTTTTCAGGTATTTGATCATGTATATGCTGACATCGAAAGATGTCACTCCGGGGAGGAAGCGAGGAATGGGAGGAGAAGCTGAAGAAACTCGAAGAGGTAGATCTCAGCAACCATTACTCACCTTTGGTGATCTTCGGATCTCCCATGCATCTACTAACTCGGGATCGTGGACTTTAGATTCCGAATCACCTCCCTCCAATTCTCCTGTAAGTAAAGGACAAGCATCTTGTCTATAGCCCCCGCTTTCTCGCCGAATTTTCCTGGCATGGTGGCGAAAGGTTGTATAATTTCTGACTGGAGATGTAGTGTGCAAAGTGATTAATGGGGTTAATGTACCGTATGTCTATGCGATAGTGGCAAAGAGCTCGAGCATTTTATAGTCATATCGTCGTTTGAATCATTGAAGGAATCCGCATTAGGAGTCATTGAATGAGGAATGTCACTCACGCATCCAATGAATTGAGTGATTTCTCTCAATTGAAGGTAGCAGTCATGGCGTAGATTTAACTTGAGCCGTCAAGCGATCGTCCCTTAGCCCGCTGCCGCAATGAAAATGAATTCTCTGTCCCGATTACAATGGCGAGTTTCGGGATGTGGTCAATGGACCGGACGGCGGCCGGCAGGAGGCCGTCAATACCCGTACCGCTATAGTTACGGTCGAAAGCAGTACCCCTCGAACGGGATAAAGTTCAACAACTCCTACTCAGCTACCTTCCCCGTTTGTTTTAAGTACCCAGCCACTAGCAGTCCTACCATTTCAAACGCTGGCGCAGAGCTGGATCGCCTAGGAGGACATGAAGATACGCCGACGCTGGTAGCCCTCCTTGCGCAGCAATCAGCTGTTGTCAATGCGATCTTGCAACGGCGCGCGATCTTTCAGTGCAATAGCCTCATCGTTCGGTGGCTCGGATGATGCATTCGTCGCGAGAATGCTAGTTCCGAAAGTCTTATTCGATGGCCACGAAGATGCGCTACCGCTTCTTGACCTGTAATACTTCAGTGCTCGGCCCTGGCTCGCTGTCTGATTCTGCCTGAAAATTGGACCCAGCGTTGGAAGACTGGCCGTGATATCTCCGATCCAGACTTCCATTTCAGTAAGCAAGCCAACATCCAATGTACTATATGTAAAATCTTCGTTCCCAGTAGTTACAATCAGGCCGAGGCGGGTAATGTTGATTATGCAAATGCTGAATCCAAGGCTGAGAAGACCGACAAGACCAATCTTCTTACTCATCTTGATGTGCCATGATAGCAAGGCCGGCATGGGAGGAATGACAATGGCGAGGTCCAGGACGATATTTACGGCACAGAAACTAATCTCCTGTTCCCTTATGCCTCCACAGGGCCGGTCGGGGTTCATGGGATTCCATCGTCTTGAGATTGGCTGGCATATCGCGAGCAATTGTTGATGCTGAAGAAAGTGATTAGGAAACTGGGTGACGTAGTAGAGGACTACAGTCGCGTACAGTATGTATGGCGCATATCGGAGAAGAGAGGCTCAGCCAGAGCTAACTGACCGGTGAAGAAAGATGCCCAGGTAGAAATGCAGAAGTGAAAGCTTGAGCAAGGTCATCGCCGAGATCTAGAGAAAGCCTGAGGCGTAGAAGATCTAGCAGTAACGTTAGTATGTTTTGCGATCACACCGTATTGTTTGAAAGGATACCGTGTTTTCTCATTTTCTTTGTATACACGCAATCGAAAGAGATTGCGTTGCGCGGGGAAAGATTGCATGTCACTCTTGAGGGATTACATATATAGAAGTGACACTAGTTCCTACTACCCATCAGGTTAAAATTTTCCGCACTAAAACTAATATCGCCCAGCCAAGCATGTTGCGAGCCTCGGTTCCCTCAGTACTATATATTAGCATTATCGAGCTTCTTCTCTACCTCGTCCGCCCTAGCAAGCTGCGGCGGAGTCGCTCTCTTCGGAAATAATGCACAAGAGACCCCGGGAATGTGGGTACAGATGGCCAAGGTACTTCAACCAATCGCGCCTTCCAGCAACAACAGCTACGACAGCCATTGACTGCCTTCCTTAGCCTTGTCCAAAAGGGCTTCGGGTACTGATCGAGCTGTTGTACTAGCCCCCAAAGCACGTAATCCGCAGGACAATACATGGTATCTACGTATCTCGATGAGACATGCTGGAATCCTTCACAGTTCCATGAGTTGTTCACCATGATCTCGGCACGGATGATTGACATTCACGAGGACTGGCCAGCAAAACCGGAGATCGACGAGTACGGGGAAAGCGTTATGGAAAATATGGGCATGAATCGAGATCATCAGGAGCGGATCTGGCCCAGGGGTATTCTTCAGTTGCGTTCAAGAAGGGACAATTCCCACTCGGGAGTCACCAGCTGCTTCAGGAGCTTTCAAAGGAGTGACTAGGCATTATACATCTGAAAAGCCTTATCTCCTACTATTTAGAGGTCTTGTCTCGCCCTCGTCATCGCCCTCATCAAAGTCATCTAGCTCATACTCCCCGGCACCTCTTATCCTCTCCTCCTCATCCTTCAGCTTTCCAAGACCGTTCGAAGAATCCGCAGGATTCGGATACGGCGTCGCGCACTTACTACTTCGGAGAGGGGGATAGTATCTCCTGTATGTGTAATAAGCGACTAGGACTCCCAGCAACGATCCGGTCGTGACATCGTAAACATCGTGTCGATAGTCTTCGCAGCGGGAAATAGCGATCAGAGCAGCCCCTAGCAATGGAGCAAGCGCAAGAAGGACGCGTGCGAGATCGGTGCGTGGCCGAAAGACGTGACACTGGCCTGCAAGGAATAAGGCGAGGTAGCCGAGACCGCTGAACGAAAAACTGCTATGACCGGACGGGAAGCTCCTCCAGCCGTCGTGCAGCACATGATAGTCCTCCTCGGTGCATACCTCGTATGTGACTAGCTGATGCCCTGGTGTCCCCGGCTCGGGCTTGCATCGCGCAATGAGATCCGGTCTCGGCCTGCCCACGGCGTTCTTTACGAGGTCGGTTATGAAGAGGGTCAAAATAAGGGATATGAACCACCCTAGTATCGTGACGTGCGCTTTGTGCGCCCCAGGCTGGAAGAGGAGTGCCCATGCTATGAGGAGGCCGAGGGGGACTGCGCCTGCGTAGATAAACAGCCATGCTACGACCACGATCAGCCTCCAAACGGTATTATCGGGCTATGTAGGCGAGACGAACGAACTGGGACGCGCTCCACTTCGGCGTGAGGGTATTGTATAGCGAGGTTGTCGAGCGAGAACATGCGGTGGAAGGGTTCGGCAAAGAATTGAATCTGCGACGTCAGCAGGGCTTTCCACAGTGGCCCACGGTTCTCGGCGTACAAAGATCCACGCCGTAACAAGGATCGCAAGGCCGACATAGTCGGAGGCATAGGTGCGCTTGAATCATGGTCAGTCTTTGGTACCTCGCAGCATGCTGGCTCACTAAGGACGGTACTTGCCTGCCAGAAGCGCGCCGCAGCTCCGACGAAGCCTTGGGATTGGAGGAGATTGTTGCGCCTGTGCGACGCACCCGCATGGGCAGGCATGACTGAGGCACTCACGCTGGGGGGGACATTGCGCGGAGGAGCGTTGGCGGAATGAAATGTGTCGACTCTGCCGTCCCGGAGGTCCTGGGCAACTCCGCGCTCTGGCGCATTGCGCAGACAGGGGTAAGCAGGCTAGATCATTTTCGGTTAGCCGTATCGGCCTTAGCATTCACCCGTGGACCCCTCGTCTGATATCGCGCCTATTTCGTCTTTCTTGTTGCTCATTTGCATTCAATACGAGGAACACTACGTGACTGTGCTCTTCGTCGAAGATACGGAAGGGGGTGCTTCTTCCCTACTGCTCCTCTGGCATAACGCATACGCACTCCTCCTCGCCCTCCTCATCCCCCAAAGCCTGCCTCACCCCCTTCATCTCAAGCCCGAACTCCGCCCCCTCGGCCTCCTCCCCCAGCCCCTCAACCTCCACATCCTCTTCGTCCCTACCTACCTCGTCCCTCCTCTTCTCCGCATTAAACAGCGCCCCCTTGTCATACAGCCTATGATTCTTCACACCACCCTTCCTCTTCACCCTAATTTCTCTAACCCTAAACGCAAACACGAACTTCTCTTCCGTCTCGCTCTGCGTCTTCGCCACTTCTTTCCTTTTCCACTTCCCCTCTGGGCCGACTGAGACGGGCACGCCGGTCCAGGCCGTTGCGTCGACGCCGACGTTGATGTGGAGCCCCTTCTCTTCCAGTGTTGCACGGAAGGATTGCGAGGACGAAGCGATCATGACGCCGGTGATCAAGTACACTTTCTCTCTCCACCGGTTGCCGAGAAGATACCCCCTAACTTCGTCGCTCCTCACTACATCTTCCAACCACTTCTCACTTGGCACGAACGTCATCGTAGTCATCGTTCCGACTTCCCAGTGCTGCTTGACTTCCTTCTCCGCGTGAACAGAAATACCACCGCCGATGCTGAAGATCATCTGTAGGAAAGAAGTCCAGACTCCAAAGCGCGAAGACGACTTGCGCATATGAGAACCGCTCCAGTTCTTTTCTGTAAAAGCGCTGACGTCATTGGTGGAAGGAAGAGCAGGGAGACAGAGAGGCTCATCAGGGATGGTGGCCGATTTTATGATGGCGCCAAGACGGATAGGCCCGGTGGGCGGGTAGGGACGTGGTGGGGTTAGGAAGTATGTCGGCTTCTGGGACATGGTGACTTCGGGTAGATCTAACTTCGATCTAATAGCCCTGGAGGGGCAACTCAGAGAGTGATTCGGATGTCGGGGCTCAAGTTAATAAGAATGTCGGTGGTGAAGCTGAGACTTGGAGCACGCCGGGCTGTGGCGTAGGAAGCTAGTTGCTCAAATGATTGGGCTGAGTAGATCTGTACATCGGTTTTGCTCACCCGTCAGGGAGACGTTCGAATGTGCGTCGCCCTTGTTGACGGTATCTTTGTTCATGGATCGATAGCAATACGGTTGGATCTGGCCAATGCCAGACGCAGTTAACTTGCGCGCCTATGCTGCAATAACCCCGATCTCAAAAGTAAGCGACGGGCTGTAAATCCGGTACCTCGATCTCGCGGACTCGAGAAGCCTAGGTCTCAAATCAGCACGCACTAAGGGCGGGTTGAAAGGGGAAGAGGCTACCTTCCGTCTCCTATGACTACGTGTGCTTGAATTCGAGTCCTCCTCCCTTGAGTGTCTGCTTGGCCGGCGAACCCTTGCACGCCTTACGAGGGCAGGTCTGCGACCCACCTGTACTATTGTAATTGTTTGAGTCCTCGAGCGAGGATTCCGACTCGGTTGGGGCTCGATGTCGGGATAGTGCACCTCCTGTGGAGGGAGGTGCTGCGGTGGCGGCGGAGGAAGGTGCGCTTCGTGTGGAAATAGAAATGGCGGGAAGGGCCCTGGGGGGCCTGGCGGTTGCGGGTGAACAGGCGGGGGAGGTGGTGGGCCAGGGTACGGGCCGGGATAGGGACCTGGATCTGGCGGAGGAGGGAGATGCTGGGGTGGCTGTGGAGGCAGCGGATCTGGCCCAAGCTCCGGGTCTATTTGTACTGGAGGGAGAGGACGGTTGCTGTCAGCTGGTGGTGGGCTCCATGACGGCGAGCGCTTTCCCGAGCGCCGGGCTCGACGAGGGCAGCAGCAACAGCACAGAACAACAATAAGTACAAATGCGGTGACTGAACCAACTATTACCCCTCCAACGACCTCTGCAGGCGGCCTTTCGATAGCTGCATTGATCGGACTGGAGTTTGCAGCTGCTGCGGCAACGAGCGTTGACGTGGGCGCCTGTCGATGGAGGATCTCGTGATGGATGGGTCGCTCATTCGCGGGGACTGCTGATTCGCTCGACGATTGTACATCTATCCATGCGGGGTCCTGGGGCACAATAGGAAATGCGAGCATAAGGAATTGCTGATGCGCATCGCGATGAAGGTGTTCAGCCCGCTGAGGATTGAGAGAAAGTACAAGGCTTGAAGGGAAGAAGGAGGCTGGTAGCCATCAGCATGGCTGCCCCGCGGGACAGATGCTCACCCAACAAGGCTGAATGATAACGGCGCTACCTGACGTGCCTGAGTACTTGCTGATTCGCTTGTGGTCGGTGGGACGATCATGCACGCAGGTTTCAGCCCCCGCCACGAACGCTGGCACCTACACACTGCTGGCAAACCCCTTCGTAACGACGAAATCAACTAATCTACTACCGTTGTGGTGGTGTATAGCCACCTAAAATAAGACCAGATTCTTCTCTGGTGCTGAAAGGAACAGTTTTATCACCCGAATATCGGATGGAGTCTTAGCAAGACGTATCGGCCACATTAACCGCGGACGAGCCTTGTGCGAAAAGTGACGGTCAACACGGCATGAAACTGGAAGACGAGCTTGAACTGCAAGACGAGCTTGAGGATCTCCTCTCACAAGCCGGACGATATGAAGAGACGGCAGAACATGGGAACGGTACTGGAGCGGTCCACGGCTACCAACAGGCAGTGAGGGCGTACGAGCAGGCTGCAAGCCTAGCCGAAAGACTTTGGGGCACACACGATGAGAACGCTTTAAAAGTGCGGGACAACTGGGCAGCCTGTCTCAGAGATGCGGATGATATAGAAGCCGCTATAACCTTGAATGTGGAGAATGTTCAGCGATATAAGGACTCTCTCGGGGACGAAGACGAATTGACGATGGATGCTGAAAGACGACTAGCCGAGAATTGGTTGAGGAACTCTCAGTTCGAAGAGGCCATAGAGCTATATGAGAACATTCTTCTGAGAGTGACTGCTAGGCAGGACCCAACGCGGATCAAGTGTGAAGACCGAACGGATCTGGCGGCAGCTTTGTTCAAATCGGGCACGACGCGCAACATCATGAGGGCCGTCGACCTCAACATGCAATCTCTCCGGGAAGCTGAGCAGGACCTCGGGCGGGAGAATATCGAGACGATTAAAGTTCGCTACAATCTGGGAACGGAGTTATTGAAGCTCTCGAAATACTCTGATGCTACAGAGAAATTCCGGGAGAACATCGACCTTCTGCAGAGTTGTGCGTGCAAGACAAGACCACATCCCGAGCACGCAATGTATCTTGAAGATTGTCTGGCCTCGCTTAAGACTTGCGATTTGAGGCTCGCACGACAAGAGCAAGAGAGACGGAACGAAGGAGAAGCAAGGAGACAACAGGACGTGGAATGGGGAGAAGCTCGGAGGCAGGTAGAAGAAGCGGAGAAAGAACAACAGCGACAGACGAAGGCGGAAGGGCCCAGAAAAGAATGGGATCGATTCAAAAAGTATGAGAGCGATCAACTGGGGAAAGCAAAGAAACAAGTGGATAAGAAGGGACAGAAGTGGGCAGAAGAGGAACGGAAGCAAATCGCAGAACAAGCCCAGCTAGCCAAGGAGAAGCTAGAGAGCGAAAAGGCCCCGCGGGTTAAGCAAGAGCAACGTGAACAAAGACTGTCGAAAGAAGAGGAGGAAGAGAAGGACCAGAAGGCAGTCAGTGAAAAGGGGAAGATTGCAAATGGAACAGCAAAGGAGGACTCCACAAGTCTCGAGGTAGTGATCGGGTTCCAAAGCGCGAAGCAAGCCGAATTGCAGGACGAGACCGCGTCAGGGAGGAAAGAGTTGCATAAGAGTGATCATCTGGCAAGCTCAACTATATGCCAGCCGTTACAGGCTCAAAGTCAAACATCGGAGGCTAAGAGCCTACCTGGAATTAATAGTCCTGAACCAAAGCGGGTCCATGCCACCAGTCCTCCAACGTCTTTGGAAAGCGTAAAAGCTCGTACGCCGTCAATCGACACGGTCATGCCCGCACAGCAGTCGGCACTCGGGGCGCAGAGCTTGATTCAGAGGCTGAGAGCAATATCCAACTTTACCGCGAGGGTAGTCAGCTCTGCGAGCGCTCCTCCGGTCTCGCGGCTTAATGGTCAGCAAACAGCTGACGGCGTAGCGGAACGCCCCCCAAGGAAAGAAGTGGATGAGCCATCGAATATTGGCGACTGCAGCAAAGTTCACGATGGCATTAACAGCGATGAAGAACACCGCTTACGGTCCATGAAGGAGACAAAGCCCTCGGCGCCGATCCTATGGATTTCTGATGTTGGGAAAGGCTGGTGCTGGCTCTAGAATAGAGAGGCGGATCCCTGGAGGATGGCAGCAAGATTTTGATGAACCAAACGAACGTCCGCTGCGAAGAACTCGTTCGAGCGGGGCGTTCCCAGAACCCACAACAAAGCTTCTCACCACAGGAAGTGGGAAGCATAGGCGAGCTTCCTCCGTTAATCCGCCTAGAACACCAATACCGTCGCAGGGTCCGCGCCTAAGTCTCTCTTTCTCAAACTACGAGTAAGTTTGCCTAGTATTAAACCGACTTCCGAAGCGGCAATGGTCAATACCTTCGCGCAGCGGCAGAGGGGCATCGTGTGAAACCGCTAACGAGACACAGGGCGGATAGAGCGGACGACTGGTTCCGTGAGCTTGAAAAACATGCACACAATTTCCTGGACAAGTACAGAGACGACAGGTTCACTGACAGGTCCTCCCGCACAGTCAAGGTAGCGATCCTTGACACAGGAATCGCAAAAGCCGGTGCTCCGCCAGAATCGCCGCTCAGTCTCAAGGGAAGACACATAAAATTTGGGAAGATTGTCGACAAATCGTTGCCGGCACATGAGGACTTGGATGGCCACGGGACACATGCAGCCGGATTGATCTTCACCGTCTGTCCATACGCGGATGTATACGTGTATCGCGTTCTCCGTGGCGGGGACGAAGAGACGATTAGCCAGAAATTCGTAACCGAAGCTCTAGCAGACGCTATCAAGAAGAAAGTCGACATAGTAAGCATGAGCTTTGGTTGGGAGGAAGATAGCGATGAAGACCTCCGCACAATCATTGAACGAGCCAAGATGAGCAATATCCTACTGTTTGCTGCCGCTTCCAACGACGGAAAACGGACTCGAGGAGGCATGGCATTCCCGGCCAGGGCGGACGAGGTGATTGCGATAGATGCTGCAGATGGCCACGGCAATCCTTCAAAATTCAATCCTCCCCCAGGGGACAAGCAGAGGTTTACTGCTCTAGGAGAAGCAGTCAACTCAGCCTATCCGGTGGATCTTGCAGAAGACTGGGAAGAGCCAGGTTGGAAGAGGATGTCTGGAACATCCTGTGCAACGCCGATAGCGGCTGGCATTGCCGGTCTGATATTGGAGTTTGCTCGACAACGTCCGCTGTGCTTCGATCGGTCCGTGGAGGGCCATCTCAAATCCGTTTCAGGTATGCGGGAGGTCTTCAGCAAGCTGTTGTCGATCAGGGATGCGGAGAAGTTCCATTTCAAGTACCTCGACCCGAACCAGCTGTTCCTCTGCACCCCAGACTTTCCGGAGGGCGGCGACTGGTGTCAGAATTCATCCCCGAGGTTGAATGCGGCAAATATCATCGTGGACTGCCTTCGGAAACGGTTCTCGAGAGGAACAGGATTGTTGATGAACGAAAAGATCCAGGAAGAGTGGAGCAGGAGGGGAGCCGTGGCTGAACGCTCCCAGCTCATGCAAAGGATGGGCTGAAGGGAGAAGTAGAGAAAGCAGGTGCTCTCCGGTGTTGGACAAGCTTTTGAGGCTGCGAAATAGGATGTGACATGAAGGAAGGAACCCTAGAAGCAAACGGAGAAAGAACGACCCGGCGTATTGATCGGCTAATTACATAATCAAATACGCTAACCACAAGCGTCCCTATGGATACTTCCCGAGGTCGTACACCGCATCAGCCAGCTGCCATCCAGCTCAACGTGCCACCGCATCCACGCACAGAAGAACCATGTGCCTGCATCGGACAAAGCGGAGCCGAGAGCTACATGATCATAAACCCATTGCCCCACACGCCAACCCTTCAAACTAACACTCCAGCATGGCATCGCCCAACATCACAGCTGAAGCCCTCTTCAACGCCGACGGCATTGTTGCCGTGGTCACAGGAGGCGGCACTGGTATCCGGGGCGAGGAGAAGCCGCATTCGGATTGCCGCTAACGGCCGCCAGGAATCGGCTTGATGATTGCGAAGGCGCTTGCGGCGAATGGCGCGCAGCGAGTCTACATTGTCGGCCGCAGAGAATCCGTCTTGCAAGATGCAGCGCAAAGCATCAATTCGAACGTAGCGGTCCCCCTGCGCGGTGACATAACCTCTCAGGCATCCCTCGTCGCTATCGCGGAGCGCGTCGAATCGGAAACAGGCTACGTGAATCTCGTCGCAAACGCCGGCATCATGGGCCCAGACCCCTCAAAACCGCCCCAAACGAGCCCCCTCCCTCCATATCCGAGTACCGAGCGCACGCTTTGCAGACGCCCATGGAGGACTTCACGCAGACGTATGCGATCAACACAACAGGCGTATACTACACAACGCTGGCCTTCCTCGAGCTGCTCGATGCTGGCAACAAGAAGGGGAATATGGGCCCAGACTGGAGAAGCCAGGTTGTGGCTACTAGCAGCATTGGCGGCTTCAGCAGGCTCCGGGGCGCATCGTTCGCATACAATAGCAGCAAGGCAGCGGTGACGCACATGATGAAGATGCTGGCAACCGCCTTTGTGCCTTATAGGATCCGCTGCAATGTTCTCGCGCCGGGTATCTTTCCGTCTGATCTTGCGGGTGGGATGATGAACACCCTCGGTCCAGGGCATGACGGGGTGTTTGACACCTCTGTGGTGCCGGCAGGAAGAGCGGGAAAAGAGGAAGATATTGCGGGCGCTTACTTGAATGGCAGCGTCGTTGTGGTCGATGGAGGACGTCTTGGGACGCTTGTATCGACATATTAGGATTGAAATACAAAAATCAAAGAGTACATGTGTACAAAAGATTGAAGGTAGTAGACGAGACTGTCGGAAGACTGACGTCACGGAGCGCGCTGAAAAACACCGAGCATCATCAGAACACAAAGAATCCACCAAGTGCAAGCAGAATCGACACCAAAGCACCCGGCGCCTTCACGACCCAAGCAGCGTCAGTGCTGCTAGGTAGGTTCGCACCTCCAGTAACCGTGCTCGTCTCGCCATTCCTCAACCCAGTGCTCGTCGCAGTAGGCAGCCTCGCCGTGCCCGTGGCGTCCGTAAACTCTTCGGGGGAAGCTCGCCAGGTGCCCGAGAAGTTCTTGAAGTGGATCTCGCTGTCGTTACTGTACCGGAACGTGGGCTTGGAATCGTCGTCCGTGACGAGCTCGATGTCGGGCCAAGAGGAGTTCGTCATGCGTTCACCTGAGAAAGTGATCTCCATGGTGCTGCCTGAGATTTCGGTTTTGAGTGTTGCTTTGCCGGACGAGTTGGAGAAGCTAACAGTGTATTCCCAGGACTGCGTCTCGTTCCTATACGCAGTGTCAACGAGGATTCGCGAGTGCGGTAGTCCTCTTTGGAGGCCTTTAGGGTCAGTGGTGATCAAGACCTACCAGATCCAGTTATACCAATCAATACCGCTATCATAACACCCACTCGCCACATCCACACTATTAATCGTCGCCCTCCGCGTCTCGTTCTTCACATACGTGTCCTGGCTTCCGCTAACTTCATATCCATCCTCCCCTTCAACCGTCGACTTCTTCACGCTCGCCTTCGCCAAATCCAGCAACTTCTCTGGCATGAAAGTATAATCATACTCAAAGAACTGGCAGGGCGTCCCATCGTCGTTCCAGCACGCATACGCCGAGCTCGCAAAGTCGAGATTGTACACGCGGTCCTCGGTGAGCACGAGGAAGCCTTCGCCCTCGGATGCGAGATGGTAGAGCTCGAAGAAAAAAGGGTTCGTATCCCAGGGAGGATTGACGCCGACGTAGAGATACGAGTTGACATAAGGACCGTAGTTGGGCGATGTGCAGTCGCTATTGTCGTACGTTACTGTGCCGGAGACGGTGCCATTGAACGCTATGTATTGAGCGCCGCTCCACTCTTCAGCCTCCCTGGTAAGCGATGCGCGAACGAGGGGGAAGAAGACAGCTGCTGCGAAGCTGACGATGGTAGACTTGAAGAATCCCATCTTGACACCGGGTGAGGGGGTTCGTCCAGAAGCGCGAGGCGCAAGGTCACGACGTGGCGAGGCGAGGCTGCCATTATGTAGCGTTGTCGAGGAAGGAAGGCTCGGTCCTTCATCTTAAAATGGTGGTTGGAGATTTCGATCGTGTTCTTCGTATTCCCGCTTTTCCTACCTTTCCCAGCCTCGCGTGTCGTAATCACCCAAATTTAGGTGCAGCCCGCAGCCTTGCAAACGGCCCCGGGGTGTTTTTCGAATCGACTGACATGATGCGCGGCGAAGAAAGAAACTTCCAAGATTGATAACAAACGACAAGGGAAAATGGGAGATGACGGCGTGCCCATTGGGAGACTTTGCTGCTCAGTCCGAGGAGTTGGCCAAGTCACGTGGCTGCGCTTTTCCCCGGGCCACAGTTCAAACCTCCAGGACTTTTCTCAATCTCTGTCCCCGTCGGTCACGATATTTCCACACCCCTTATTGGGGCGCCGACGGACCACGTTTGTACGGTTATTATGAAAGAATTGGCAGCTCCTTCATCGCTTGGACCTGGCTAATCGGGTATGGCATATAGGTGGACGGGTCCGATCGATGGGATACTGCGGGTAATGTTGTTCGCATCCGTCCACCTGGGCCATCTCGTCCAGCCCTGGAGCTGTGTGGGCGCAAGGCTACGCTTAACCGCTTTCGCCTTATCGATCCGAGGCGAGCTCGTGCCGTTGATAACGCAGCGTCCAAGGTTCGCCCCGTCGACGTTGAAGCGGCCTGGAGGGGCTCAAAGTCGCCCGATCGCACGACAGCCTGGGTCCTTTATTCCGTGGTAGGCTTAGGCGCAGGCTCTCTTTGCAATTCTGTTTCGCGTCAGTCGCGTCGCGTCTTCAATTCCAAGGTTGAGCATGCTCTGGCAGCTTTAATACCGCGCCGGAGCCCCTCTTTCCCACATCAAGCTTCCTCTCCACGATTATATCTCTCTGTCTTCCATTCCATTCCTCTCCTCCATCCCTCACAATGGCTCTCGATCGCCTGAAGCAGGCAGCGGCCCATGTTACCGGCGTGGGCCAGCCAGTGCACCCCTTCGATCCTCTCTCCGAAGCCGAAATCGAGCAGGCCGTCGCCATTGTGCGCAAGGAGCACAGCAATGTCTTCTTCAATGCCGTCACGTTATGGGAGCCGCGCAAGGCTGAGATGATGAAGTGGATCAAAGACCCCCAGCACACCCCCCGGCCGCACCGTGTTGCAGATGTCGTCGCTATCGGCAAGGGCAGCAAGGTGTTTGACGGAATTGTGGACCTGACCGACGGCAACATCGTCAGCTGGGAGACGACCGAGGGCGTCCAGCCTCTGGTATATATCTTCCGTCGCCACCTGTACTTCGGCTTCCTGACCATTAATCTAGATCACTATGGAAGACCTCCAGATCGTGGAAACAATTGTGCGCAAAGATGCAAAAGTCATCGAGCAGTGCGGAATCATTGGTATCCCGCCGGAAGAGATGCACAAAGTCTACTGCGACCGTAAGTGCACGCGCTAATGCTAGCGCAAGAGCAGTACTGACTACTACTCAGCCTGGACGATTGGCTACGACGAGCGCTTCGGAACCGGTGTCCGTCTCCAGCAAGCGCTCATGTACTACCGCCCACACGTCGACGATAGTCAGTACAGCTATCCTCTTGACTTCTGCCCCATCTACAACGCCGATACCCAAGAAATCATCCACATCGATGTCCCTTCAGTTCGCCGCATGGTCAACAAGGCCCCGCCGAACAACTACCATGCGGCTGCTATCGAGGCAGAGGGTGGCTTCCGCAAGGATCTGAAGCCTATCAACATTACTCAGCCGGAGGGCGTCTCATTCTCTATGGATGGACGCTACATCAGCTGGCAAAACTGGAAGCTGCATATTGGGTTCAACTACCGCGAAGGTCTCGTTCTCTCGAACATCACATTCAACGACAAGGGGACCGAGCGAGACACGTTCTGGAGGCTTTCGCTTGCCGAGATGGTTGTTCCATATGGAAACCCCGAGCACCCACATCAGCGCAAGCACGCTTTTGACTTGGGTGAGTACGGTGGTGGATACATGACGAACTCTCTCAGCTTGGGCTGTGACTGCAAGGGTGCCATCCACTACCTGGATGCAGCATTCGTGAACCGAGCTGGTGCTGCTACGACTATCAAGAACGCCATCTGCATTCACGAGGAAGACGCCGGTATTCTCTTCAAGCACACCGACTTCAGAGACGACAGCTGCACCGTTACCCGCGCACGCAAGCTCATCATCTCGCACATCTTCACCGCTGCCAACTACGAATACTGTGTGTACTGGGTCTTCCACCAAGATGGTACTGTACAACTCGAAATCAAGCTCACCGGTATTCTGAACACATACGCCATGGACCCCGGCGAGGATCTCCACGGCTGGGGCACCGAGGTCTACCCCGGCGTCAACGCACACAACCACCAGCATCTCTTCTGCCTTCGTATCGATCCCAACATTGATGGACCTAACAACACCGTCTTCATGGTGGATGCTGCGCGTGGCTCAGGCGAAGTCGGCAGCGCTGAGAACAAGTACGGTAATGCGTTTTACGCTAAGAAGACGAGGCTCGAGAACCCCGAGCAGGCGAGGACCGACTACAATGGCGCCACCAGCAGGACATGGGAGATGTGCAACGAGGGCAAGCTGAACCCTTACAGCAAGAAGCCCGTATCGTATAAGCTGGTCAGCAGGGAAGTTCCGGAACTGCTTCCCAAGGAGGGCGGTCTGGTATGGAAGCGTGCTGGTTTCGCCCGCCACGCGGTTCATGTCACAAAGTGTAAGCCTACGTCTTCTTTCGTATTGATACAGCGTGCTAACCTCCCAATGGACGAGGACTCGCAAATCCACCCAGCCGGCCGCCACGTTCCTCAAACCTCGGGCGAGCCCTCTCAAGGTCTTCCCCTGTGGATCGCAGAGAACCCCACAGCCAACCTTGCGAACGCCGATGTCGTCCTCTGGCACACTTTTGGCATTACGCACTTTCCATCGCCTGAGGACTTCCCCGTCATGCCAGCCGAGCCCATGACGCTGCTCCTTAGACCCAGGAACTTCTTCACGAGGAACCCGTGCTTGGACGTACCGCCGAGCTACTGCAGCGTTCCCAGTGGTGTCAGACAGGGTGGTGCTCTCGTGGATAAAATATCGCAGCTGGCCTTTGGTGAAAACAAGGCCGGCAGCTGCTGCGAGAAGTAGAGGTCGCCGCGAGGGTAGATGGATCAAAGACGTGGAAAACTGTAACTGTAAATACCCAATCATCTGAATGCATGGAGAGGAAGATTGCGAGGCTTAGGCCCACGAGATTTACGTCTTATATATAGCGATATCTTTGTTCAAATCACTGGCTTTCCTAATCCGGATTAGCATCCGGCCTGTGATTGGTCAATTAGCGGCCGTCCACCCTCACGCTCCAGCTTCGTCTTTAGTCCCGAAACAATTCAACGGAAACTCTCAAGCGTCGACAACATGCATTGAGCAGGTACATAGAAAGGAAGACCCGTGGAGAGAGCTTCAATGCCGATGCCGAGGGCAAACAGAAAGCTATGGGCATTCCCGGTGACGTCTCCGCGGGCCCCCCACGCGAGAAAGCAGTCCAAGTTCCCGGTCAAAGCTCGAGTCCACCCGAACCTCAACATCCAACCCTGGAACCAGTCACACGTCTCACTCCACCATGGCATGAGTCCCTAGGCTGTCCATTTCTGTTGCCCGCATTTCCATGTACCCAATGATGCCTCGGTGAGCTCCACCTCCACACCGACAATGCCCCGCGCCCTCCCGCCCATCGAGGGCAGCACCAAAGGCCCCAACATTTCGCCCTCGCTCGTCGAAAGCGTGGCAGGCTTCAGCGCGGGCGTGATCTCGTGCCTCACTGTGCATCCGCTCGATCTCCTCAAGAATCGGCTGCAGCTCAATACGCAGACAAAGCCCCGTAGCGGCGATTCGCTAAGGATTATCCGCCATGTGGTGCGGGACGAGGGCGGGCTGGGCGCGCTGTATAGAGGGCTATGGCCCAATATGCTGGGGAATAGCCTGGGGTGGGCGCTGTATTTTCTGTTCTATGGGAGGGCGAAGGAGGTTCTGCAACGGCGGAGGGGGCATGGGGAGCATTTGAGCTCGGCCGAGTTCTTTTCCGCGTCGATTGTTGCTGGTACGTGTCGGGACCGCACCGCTTCCCGCGATGGTGAGAGGGCCGCTGCTAACGAGTTGGGGCGCATAGGCTTGCTAACCGGCGCCTGCACAAACCCCATCTGGGTCGTAAAAACGCGCATGCTCGAGCGCGGCGCGAACCACCCCTCGGCCTACAAGTCCATGAGCGAAGGACTCAAGCACGTATACTACACCCGAGGACTCAAGGGTCTCTGGGCCGGCTTCATCCCGTCCACGCTCGGCGTAGCGCACGGGGCCGTCCAATTCGCCATCTACGAGAAGATGAAGCATCGAAGAAGGGAGGCCATAGGTGGACAAGAGCACTTGGGCAATTGGGACTATATCTATATGAGCGGAGGGAGCAAGCTGCTGGCCGGTGCCATCACCTATCCGTATCAGCCTATACGAGCGCGAATGCAGCAGTATAATGCGGCGACGCAGTACTCAGGGCTGATTGACGTGCTGAGGAAGACTTGGAGAAATGAGGGCTTTCTGGCCTTCTACAAAGGGTATGTCTCTTCGTCGGTTGCGGTCCCGCGCACTGGGGTTGGCTGACTGACCCATCGGCAGGGTTATTCCAAATACGCTGCGAGTCATCCCGACTACCATCGTCACGTTTCTTGTGTACGAGAACACGAAGATTTTCCTGCCGAAGCTCTTTGTAGACGAAGAGATGGCTCACGAGGAAGACTAAGACCAAAAGGAGCCTCTATCTCGCCGGCACAGTTCCACTCGGTTTCCCCAAGAGCATACATTCGAGGCGTTCTTAGGGGTATGTACAGGGCACATAGACGCGGTCCGTAAGATCCAATGCACGGACTATTCCAATCACCATTCTCTCATCTCCCGAGTCATTTAGTTCTGCGTTCAGGGGGGCAGTTGAATGATCGAGTATCCAGGAAGTAGAGAGGTGTCGGTGAAGTACATAGTTACACGTTATGACTTTCAAAGATTCAGTATTTCACTAACATCAGGCACAGGACTCCGAGCGCTGTCCCTGGCACGTGGAACCCAGGGGTACCAGCATCGGTGCAAGCACTCCTATTTCTCAAGCCCTTTCACGATGGGAGCATATATCAGCCTTTCCTCTTGCCCCCCTTGTCATGTCTCCATCGCCAGCTGCGACGACACCGTACCGCACGAGCACAACCAGCGCTAATATGGGAGCGTCGATCAACCGAAACCGCCGCTTGAAATGTCTCCCCTTAGCCGGATTACCCTGAAGCGCAACACCCGAGTAGCCAAAGAGAACAGATCCGATGAGGGCCCATCAATGGCACCGCAACCCACTCAAAAGCTTCGGCATAAATCTAGTGGCCTCCGCTCGCTGCTGGGCCGGTTCCATGAGCAATCGAGAGAAACTATTCCGTCTCTATCGATCCATTCTCCCGAGGAGCCACAAGCAACGCCACCACAAATTTCGAAATTTGTTTTAGGATTCGTCAATTCCATGGATACAGAGCAATTGAGCAATTTCCTGGCTTGGTTTCTCCATTACGACGTTGTCGAGCTTCCCGAATCACCCGCATCATGGTACAGCCCGATGTGCTCCATGGAAATGCGTGCATGGATTGCCCTAGGCGCTTTCCTCTCAAAGACAACCGAATATGGGTTCGACCTAGTGGTACTCGACTCGATCTGTGACCGCCTGAGGCTTCGCCGAGCGGTAGTGCATGGCTGCCTCATACAGCTTAGTGATCCGCAAAAGATGGCCTGGACACAACTCGCGACTATCATTAACGAGGCAAAGCTAGCGCAGAACCCCGAGGTTGAGACTCTTGAGCTTGTACAGGCAAAGCTCCATGATCTGAACGAGCTGGCGCAACGCATTAAGCCAACCGAAGGCTCCATGTTCGCAGCGTGGAGGTCAGAGATACTCGAAAGACTGTGCGGTTTCCTAACACAGGTCCTTGCACCCCGCATCTCCCATCATCGTCTTGGCACAACCCTGGTCACGAACGCAACGAGCGTTCAAGTTCCCAAAGAGGTTAAGGGAGGACTGAGGCTCAATTTTCTCTACGAAGCTATGCAGCAAGAGCGCCAGGTTCCCCTCGTTCGCTACGGCATCTTCCCAGATTCTCCACCTGGCTTGACTCCCGCCGGCTCTTCTGCTCATGACGAGGATCGCGTCTCTATCCTAGACGAAGACTTCATCGAGCAAGAGTGCCAGATCGAGCGCTCGTATAGCGTCACAAAGCTCAGGGCGGAGAACCGTGCGCTTCGAGCTGAAAATGCGGAGCTTCGAAATAAGAACCAAAACTTAGTCCACTCCAACGAGAAGCTAGCCCGGAAATTTGCGATGCTCGGGCGGGTACAACCTGCTCTATACACCCGGCCGGATTGGAACAACAGTGAGCCGATTACGCCTATCATGCCCGATTCTAATGCGCATGTCCGTCCGCAATCTAGCATGCTAGAGGTGCCACTTCCTTGCATGCGGCCCAGATCCCTTTCAGATGGTGACACACGAGAGCTTTCGGCCGTGTTCCAACAGGAGTCAAACTCCTTGGTGATCGCCGCCTCCCCTACTCCTGGCTCGTTCTCATCTCTCCCGTCTGTCTTCGATCCCCGCCTCTCCTGGAAGTACGAGGATGTCTTCAGCGTTCTAGACGAGAAACCTCTTCCTGTTCTACCACTGCTGCATCCTGCCACCGGCGAGCCATTGGCTCCTCCCGAGACGCCCCGCCCTGCTTTCCGCCCTCCACGTGCAGCGAGAATACCACCCCCTCCTCCTGCATACTCTCCACCCCCGCCGCCTGTGGCCCCACTTCCGCGAATCAGGAGAATCGAGCTTACGGAGACTCCTTACGCCAGCCCTAGCCAACGCACTAGGGCCCTTGTCCGCAGCGTTGGCAGCAACAACCTCGCGGCGGCACCGGGCTACACTCCATCAACCCTGGTCTCAGCCTCAACCTCTCCGACTGCCTCGCGGGCCAATTCAAATCGCAGCAAGTCCTCTAGCCCGTTGCGGAACGAACCAGGGCCTCACAACTCCATCGCAGAGTATAACGCACGGCAGCTCAACCACAACTCGGTCCAGCAACCTATTGAGCCATATGCGAGGCCTTCCACCATAGCGGCGCCCTTGACTACTGCTAGGAACGCGGTGACGGGTATTGTTCGGCGTCGCACCAATGAGATGGACTTCGACATAGGCGAAGGCAGCCCGCCGAGGTGTGGCAGCGTCGGCGCGATATTGGATGCGATAATCGGTAAGGGAAAGGATGAGCAGCAGGGGCCGGACATTTCGAAGAATTTCTGAGCTCGCTAGGGGTAGTGAATGCTGTGGGGGCTTTCAGGTGGGGTTTCAGAGCCTGTGGGGACTCCGCGGTCATCGGTTGAAGGCATTCAGCCTTGTCTATGCAAATGAGCATGTCTAGTAGCGTTCTGGAGCGATGATACCTTCTATAGCTGCATCTCAAGATAGAATATCTGTACACATTGTCACGCTTTAGCCGGCTCGCGGCCTTTCCTTCTGTGAGTTTCCGAACATGTCGTTTCCTATGGCTAATGATCCTGGCTCGGTGCCCACATCGACTGGGTCCTTCATCACTTCGCAACATGCTCGCTATTCACTGATTAGACTCTTGACTTCTTTGCCGAGCCAACTCATTGGCGAGCTCCGAGACAGTGAACGGAGGTGAGAGCTGGCACGCTGCAGCTACCCGCTGCCGGGTTCACCTCAATCTATTGTTGTTTGCTCCATCCCCGTCGCGCACTGTCTCAGCGGCGGCTGGCGGATTCGCGGTGACTCTTAGATGACGGAGTGAGGGAGTGAGGCTGCACGGGGCTGCACCTGCCTTCCATACGACGCCACGTGACGACGCGTTCCTGCCTCAGCCCCGCACATAAAGCGCCACAGCCTACTCGACCTCCTCTCTTCCTCACCCCAACTCACCCCAACTCACGCTCGCAACAGTCAACGCCTGCTGCCCACCATCTCCCCCAACATGACGAGGTACGTCGTCCAGGTGCTTGCTCCAGGCCGCCGCACGGCCAGCCTACTCGTCGTTCTCGCGCCCTCTCAGCTATGGTACGTATGCCCCGGTACCCATACACGACAACACGTCCTTCGGCGGCTGCGGGAAGCCCCCCCCCCCCCCCCCCCCCCCCCCCCC